GAGCAGCACAAATTAGTGTCTGCTTTAAAGGGATAGTTCACCCAAATTGTTAAAAGCGCTATATAAATAAAGGTGACTTGACTTGACAACAAAATGATGCTAAAAATGATATCGAACCCAATGGACAGTCATAAACAGAAAAGGTATATACAACAGACATAATATAAACCTTCTCTGTCAACTCAGAATTTGATTCTGAGCTTATGATTAACCCTGAAACATGTTCATAAATGTTTGACAGCAAATAGTCAATCGTGTGAAATACGGATGGCACAGTTTAATCTGAAAATCAATATATAATTATGAATAAGATATAGGACAATATAGACCTTTATATAGTTTATGAGGTCAAGAAGCTCATACCAGCAGGCCTCCGTTACACTGACCTTCTAAAAAGTTTATACTTTTTAAGAAAGTAAAAGGCCTTTTAGTATGATTGAAAAAATGACCACCTTCAAGTGTGATACATGTATGTTTTGTCTGTGAGATCTTTTGTATTGAAGTAAACATTTTATGAACTATTTTTTTATGAAGTAAACATAAGAATACATTTTACATTTTTAGTAATATTTCAAGATGAACACTTCCTGGACTGAAGCAACTTAGGTTTATTTGATTATCCATACATAATTATTTAGAAAAATCGTGTTCAAATGTGAGTATCAAATATGATACATCAGGTTGTTGAAGAACACTATCAATCATCTCTCAATCATCATTGTATAGTGTTGCATTACACTGTATGTGTAACCCCACAATAAAAACTACAGAGCTTTGATCATAAAACTAGATATGTGATATTGACAATTGATACTTATATGCATTTGATGTAATTAGACTGATATTATAAAGATCTCATTGATTTGCATTACAAGATATCAGAATTTCATGTTACTTTTTAGCCATAGAAATATCAACAACTGCAACAAATGGCATATTTTCACCCAGTTTGGGCCTCTGAATAAAATGACACAAACTATTATTTTTTATGTCAGACTTTACAGACTGCATATAGGAGAAAGATTATTTTTTTTTTTTAAATACACACTTCACACTTCATGTTCAAAGCCGTTTAGCTCTCTTTCTTATTTTTTTTTGGTCTCTCTCTTCTCTTCACTCTTCAGTAGAGTGCAAACCCCTTTCCTCTTCATCTATTATCTATTCATCTATTAGTCCTGAAAATATGAGCAGTCAAGCAGAGCCTGCCACCTCGACCCCAGCACAAGAGCTGTTCTGCCAACTGAAGCCATTTCTCTTCAAATAGAGGTCATTAGTATCTGAAGGCAGAGTGCATGTACATGTCATTACTGAATTTATAATAATTTCACTGCTCCACATGCACAGTTTATTGATAGCTGTGCCACGCTATTAACATATGAGAGGAGCGTCCTTTAGCACATCAGTGCCCATGTTGGCTTTTGAAATGATAATCTGAATTTCCAAGTGGTTTCGCAGTGTTTCAAATGCATAATTATGGTCATTAATTATACTAATCAAAGGTGATTAAAGTGACATTTACTTTCACTGTGGGAGATCAGATGATGCATGCGGCTGCAGGTGGTGATACTAACAACTATGATGGCGAGTGTCGGCGGAGTCTGCCGTGATCTCTGCTCATCTTTTAGGAAGTGACACTCTCTCTCACCCATCTGTCCGCACAATAATCCCTGTAGCGCTTAGTGATATTACTGCCTGGTTTATCGCTGTGGCAACAGGCCCTCAATCCCAATTTGCAACCACGTGACTGCGGGCAGTAGAAGGGGGTTGACATGACACACACACACACACACACACACAGACATGTATAATAAAATAAAAAGGACACTGACTATCTTATGCCACGTATGTACAATGACTCACATATGATGCTTGATGCTTTAAATTAACGACCAAATTTGGAAGAAAATGTTCTTGCAGTAAAGCTGATTCAACTAATAGAGATGCCTATCAGTTTTAGACTCTCAATTCATGAGAGTTCATTAGCCTTTCCATTATAATTACCATTCCTGCTATGACCACTGCTATTAGAAAGCCGTGCTGTTTATTGATCTACTGTAGGAACTGCATGAACTCATTAATGCAGCCATTAAGCTTTTGGAAATTACAACTTTTCCAGTTATTATAGTAGTTACAATTACTAATATGTGATTAGGTTACAATGCAGTTTAGCGCACGGCTGATTACTGGTAAACAACATACATCTGGATCCAAGTCTGAAACTACTAGTGAAATTTCTTCTGGTTTGCATTTTTGTTATTACATTTTTTTTTCATTATATATCTTATAATGACCATGAACATGAATTTCAGCATTTTTTTCGTACCTCTTGTCCTTTTATGACAGCAGCACTTGAGCTGGCATGGGCTTAACAAATTTGTGCTAAACCTGATGATCCATGTTATCCCGACATGAATCTGACATTTTGTCGAAAGTAGTTTTTTTTTTTTTTTTGGATAATTTGATTTATTTTTGATTAATCTTTAATTGATATTTATTTATTTAAACTTAAACAATCATGGTTGTTTCGCCCTCACTTAAAGGCAGAATATATAAGATTTTTTGATTAAAATATCCAAAAACCACTAAAACAGTGTTATATATTTTGCTGACTTGTGTACTTACATTATCCCAACTGTTTCGAAGAATGTTTAAATCCAGAGAAATAAGCAGTGGCGAAAATGACATATTGTGCCTTTAATGCCATTCTGGACGATAGTTTATATCACAGCTTTTAATTAACAATATGGTTTGGCTGTTATTAAATTTTTGTTGTTTAGTGGTGGTATTAGTATACACTCTAAAAAATGCTGGGTTGTTTCAACCCAACTTTGGGTCAAATATGGACTAATTAACCTGTTGGGTTAATTTTTTTAATTAAATCTTTAACCCAAAAGTTGGGTTAGTCCATATTTGATCCAAAGTTGTGTTGAAACAACCCAGCATTTTTTAGAGTGTAGCTGATATTTCATTTGGGTTTCACTTTAACACATTCTGTTGACTATAAATAACGTTGCACCTACATATCTACTAACTCTCATTAGAGTGTTAGTAGAGTATTAGTAGACTGGTAGGGTTAGGGTTAGATTAAGTTGACATGTACTTGCAAAGTTACTGATAGTCAGTGGAACAACTGTTGGGAGACCATCACAATAAAGCAGATATTAAGCAGACAGGCTACTTATACTCTGTAACAAACGTTCGTAGGTCGGGAAGAAGGAGGCGGGAACCTCAAACGTTCAAACAAAACTTTAATAACAAAATAAACAAAATAACGCGACAGCCCCTCGCGGACGACTGTCGCGCACAAACAGAACCAAAACACAAAATGAACTCCAGGCCTAGTCCTCTCTCGTCCAACACTGTCACTCCTCCTTTTATCCTTCCGGAGCTCCTCCGTGGAACTCGAGACCGGTGAGTGGCGCAGGTGTCGTGCATTAGCATTTACTCCACAGGCCTCTCTCCGTTCCCACGGCTCTCAGCCCCGCCCCTCTCGTCACATACTCTAATGAGAGTTAGTATACATGTAGGTGTAGTGTTACTTATTGCCAACAGAATGTTCAAAAGGGACCATCAAAATAAAGTGTTACCTTAATTTGTTTTGATTGTATTTTTTATTGTAAAGCACTTTGTGACTATTCATTGTCTGTGAAAGGTGCTATATAAATAAACTTTTATTTACTTACTTACATGCCACATTTTTACGCTTACAACTCTCCTACTAACTGTTATACTCCTCTCATTGTGACGAATTTTATTAAATAAATATAAAATAACACTCTGCTGCTCAAACAACCAAACATGCTCTGCATAGCCTAAACAGTTTATCTGGCAAATTGAAGAATACATTAGTTCATGCCTTAGTTTTTCTTAACACCTGGTGGCTGGCTTCTATGGACTAACCTGAAATTTAAAGTAAATTTTGAAAAAAACTAGAAGGCAACTGTAGACGTCATCTTAACCATCATGGAATCTCATAGGTGGTTGATTTGGTAAATTTTAGATAAACTGTGCCACACAAATAACGATATAAAAGAGTGATTTGAGCTAATGGTACAATAGTCTAATAAGCAAACAAATAGTAAACACAAATACTGGGTAAAACAATGCATTCCCTGTAAACAAATCAGTTTAAGTTTTCTCATCATTTAAGATGTTTTCACAGCCTGATCAAACCAGTGCTCATATGAACATGACAAGATTCAGTCTGCTTAAAGTTTTCATCCAAAAATCTGAATCTGAATCTGAAATCTGAAAATACACACACTAAAGGACATAGACAAATAATTGAGTTCATTCAAGGTGTTTAATTAAGTCATTGTATACAATCCACAACCACAAGGTACAAAAGAAAACCTTCAAATAAGGTCAGTTACAAAATAGAAATCTGTGTCCCAAACAACAGACTTCTTTACAGAAATTAGAAACAAGTAAGAATCGTTCATTTGGATTAAATTTTGCAAAAACTATGAACGACATCAAAACAGGGCTAAGAGATATGGTGGCATTTGTGGACTTGACGATTGATGTACAGCTGTCAGTAAAATCATTTTAGCAGCACCTGTTTGATATTTCATGAACATCACATTTTGCACATTAAGTTGAAAAGAACTGTGCATTGACCATCATATCCACACACAAAATAAGACAAAATTAAAATGAAAAAAGAAAATCTGATATAAAAGAAGATCATTTAATAAATCCTATTCCGTGCATACAATCTAGCCATTTTAATTAGATAAGGTCATCAGATTTGATTTCATGGTGGATTAAAGGGTTGCACATTGCACTCATAAATATGCATAATCTCTGAAGGACGTGGCTGCAACATTCAGCCGCAGGTAGCACCGTTACCCTTTTCCACATGGCATAGGGTGTTACCGGGATGTAATAATGCAAGTCTAACACCTGCTAAATGTGCTTTTCAGATTCTTGTAATCATTTAAGAACTGTTGCTTTGTATGAGAGACAATTTGTAACGTTTTTCTAAACGAGCAATGGCTAATTGTGATGGACTGTAAAGTTTCTGCAGTTCTCCAGAACGGTTCCTGGTTTCTCATGCTACTCTCTGTGTATAAACGTTGGTTTTTAGGATTGGTGCCGTTGCACAAATCCTGAGTAACAGCGGCATGTGTTGATGTGATTTGTTCTGTGATGGTGCAGGTACAAGGGATGGATGACTCGTCTGCCCTTTTGCCTTTGCCAAGTGCTAATCTAGTGTTTATACGGCCGTGTAAGTAGCTGGGAGTGATTAGGAGTGGCGACTCTTCTTATTCCTGAGAGATTAGTACGGCTTGTGCGGCGGGTGTCAAACACCCCTGGCAGCACACGTGGAGTTGTAATTGGTTACAGTTCCATCCCAGACCAGTTTTATAATTCCGTTTTATAATGAGAAAGGAAAAGTGAACCCTATATGTGAATTAAAACTTAAGGATGGCTTCTTCTGGGCAGTTTGGAAATACAGCAGTGGTTATTAAGCAAAGGACAACAGATTAAAACGGCATCATCTCATTTAACTGTCCTTGCTGAAATGAGGGATTGATCATGAGCCAGAGCTTTAGAGGAAAACCTGAGCTGGCAATGGAAAAGTGTGGTTGGGACAGGGGCTCTGGTGACTGTGGGTGCCTTGATTTCTGGCAGACACTCAGAGAGCATTCTGGGACATGTGATGATCATTCAAAAGGGATTAATGTGAGATTAGAATGATTCTTTTTCCTGAGCTAACGGGGAATGAACTTGACTCTGTTCTATTCATTACTTAATATGCATATCTGTGTAAAAAATATTTTGGCACTGTCAGGAAAGACTCATTAGACTGATGTTTGAGCAATAATCTGATTATTTTCACTATCCTGAAAAACATGTTTGTAAAAGATCCACTGTTATCAAATAATGTACAATTTATCAGTAGTTTTTGTTTTACAACTCTATAAAACATGGGCATAATTTCTACTGGCTTTTGCAAAGATACTGTACGCTGGATAATAATTGTAGAAACACTGAGAACGTGTCATTTGAAAAAATCTGTCACCTGAGACATTTTTTTTTCCATGTGCACAGCCCCACTATGTTTTCTGGGTGTTTAATTACCATTATGACTTTCTGAAATATCAGCATTTAATGTCTTCATCTCACATTTAAGATGATGACCAGTGGCAGTAGATTAACAACACATTGTCAATTAAACATGCAGGTTGCTTACTTACACATCAATTATGTCTCCAAAAAACACTTTTTGTAGGTGAAACAGTTATTTTCTACAAAATTGTCTGGCAGTGACTACAGGATGTGTATAATCATAAATATACTTCCCTCATGTCAAAAGTTTGTGCTTAAAATCAAGTGTTGCATATGTTTGTAACAAGATTGTAGTCTGCGTAATAATACCTGCTATAGTCTTAGAATTTAGTTTTGGCCCATGAATGCCTGAAATTTTTACCATTTTACACAGTTTTCTAATCTAATCATGCCATTTACTTGTACCTGCTTTTCTGTCTCATAAAAAAAGAGTGAAATAAAAGAACAAAAACATGCTTTCCATATCAGTTACACATGCTTTACAGTAACTGATCAACCCATTCACCGAAACCCAATTAGTTATGAAGTTGCATATAACAAAACTTTGGCAAGTAAAGCTACATTTTTTACTTCAAATCCTAATTCTGGTCTTTAAATTCCCCCTGCGGTATCCCTCATATTACAGCACTGTAAAAAAGAGTAGCACACATAAACATAATTCACAAGCGGGAATAAATAAAAAAAAGAAACAAAATCTGACATTGTTCTTTTTTGTCTAGTATTCAAACTCTAATATAGGTTTTTATAAAAATAGACTGAGGAGAAGAGTGGATTAATGCAAGCACATGAAGAAGTTCTCACTTGGGGAAGCAATCTTCATAATCTCTGAACAGCACCTGGAAATAACATGCTTGTAAAAGATGCCCTTTAATGCTGCATAGTTACAGAGTTTATGATTTTGGCAGAGTTAATATTTTCGGATCAGAATAAAAGAACTGGAATTCTCTAACACAGGAGAAGGTACGATGTAAGAAAAGAGATGTAGTATATACTTGGTCCCGAGCACAGGGGTGTATTTCCTTTTTACCCACACAATAATGGCTATAGTCCCTTATAATTTACATGTTAAACTGGTCCCGATATTTAGATCTGCAGAGAATACAATCGTATTCGTACAAAGTATTTTTGTCTTTTTTTTAGTAAAGATATTTAAAACCTCTTTAAAACTTAATTTTAGGTGTAATTTACCTGAGAACCAAATTTGGTTAATAGAACCAATATTTTATATATATATATATATACTGTATATTTCATTGGCATTTTGTCTTGTTTTAATCAAACCTCATTAAATTAGTTCTGTGCTACAAAAATACTTTTTAATAAATTATTTTTTAGAGTGTATACATAGGGTCCAAAATTAACTTTTCACCATGCTGGCCAATGGCAGGTTGAGCTTAGTATGTGTACCAGCCATGAAACTGTATTTGCATTTAAATAAAAAATAACAGCAGTAGTAGTTTGCATGTCTTTGACTTGCATCACTTTGTTAAAGGTCAGATTATTGCAGCACTGTTGCAGTTCCTAATAAACTGGCAAGTAACTTCGTTTATGTACTTGCCAATCACATTTGCCGCTTCACGAGTGTTAATTTTGTAACCTGGGTCTAAATGTAATCATCGAAATCCTTGCTCACATTTTGGCTGAAGTACAGAAAAGTCCACAATTGCTTCTAAGTTTTTACGGATCATTTACGAGCTGTTTACATTTTCAGTAAAACAAACGTGACATGCATTGGGCACCTCATAAATGTGGCCAATTTTATACCTCTCATTCAATTTAGATGTAAACGACAATATACATCCTCACACTGACTTCTGGCCTGAATCAGAATTGCGGCTAAACTGCACTCCATGTCAAACTAAACATAAACACACACTTTCCTGTAAAATACTTTTTCTGCCAGAAATGCCTAAAAGTCAGGACAATTGTGTTGCTATTAATGGGCCTCTGCAGTTTCCTCTCTTTCTCTCTGTATCTTCTCTGACAGTGTTTTCTGTCTCTGCGGTATGTCAGCGAGCTGGTCCGTGTTAGTTGCACTGTGTACTGTCTACACTGAGTTGTTTTATGTGCACGTGCAGAGTGGAGTCAGGGTGGTGTAGGCACAAAAGCTAGTGCTAAAACTGGCTGAATGACAACTCAAATATTTTTGTGTGTGTGTTCATTAGAGACGTTACTCCCTGCTTTAACCCACACTGTGTAAACAAAGGCACACAGGGGATCACAGCTACAGACCTACGTACTCATCATTGATCTTATTTAGGATGGACCAATTCAAAAGGCTCACTTTCCCTCCACTAATGTCCTTCCCAGAGTGAGTTTCTCCTTTTATCCACTCTTCCCATCCCACAAAGTGCAATGCATACATATATTTTTCTAAGCTTCTTCTTTTCTTAATAGTAAAGGCATGCTGATTAAACACGTGACGAGAAGAAAAAGCTAATAAAAACACTATAAATGGATCCTTTTTCCAAATAACACACTGAACATCAATTTTCATTTAAAAAGTAATTTGACAGATAAAGCTTTGTAAACATGTCTTCGAAATATACCTTTATGCAAATTTTTGGATAATAGATTCATCTGATAGAAATCTAGCATAGCGTTAGTTCTGGCAGGTCACGTTAGTCAAGCTCGCATCAACTGACTCTCAGCTGATCCCCATCAACCTATGGGAATACGGCACCTATCTAAGCATTCATATATAAGGTCCCTCAGTATTATCAGCAGTTTTCGCATTGCTCAATAGCTAATTACCCTCCTCCATCCCCAACTCCTCCTCTGTCAGTCGGGATTCAGCCTTCTGATTCTCCTTTGAATCAGACTAATTCTAAAATGTGTACATAACATTATTGAACTTTAACGATATCTGCAATACATTTATGTTGGTTCTGTTCTGTTTACCCTGGGGGGTTATCGCTGCTCTCCCTGCTCTCATCCATGCTAGGCTGCATGGATGTGCAGGGAGTTCTTGCCCAGAACAGAACATCTTTGACGATAATGGTCCTGACAGAAACATCTGGATGCATGAAAAAATTTCTTCAATTCTTTTTACGTCCCCATCAAGCATCTATCATAACAAACAAGATTTTCTTTGTCAATCACGTTCACCAGAAAGACCATGCTGGTTCCTTAGGTTTGATTTTTTTTTGGCTATTCTTCTCCACCAGTTAAACCAGCAATAATCAGCATAAACCAGCGTTGGACCAGCATGGAAATTCTTTTCAGCAGGGTTGGCTTCCTTTCCCAATAAATATAAATAATCTAACTTTGCAAAAATCTTTTAACTATGTTTTAAATAATATTCTGAAATAAACAGTCATTTAAGTTGATGGCACCAACCTTTGCAGAGAGCAAAAGTAAAATCTTAAAAAGAACAAAAAAGAATCTGCAATCTGTAAATTCTTTCAACGTTGGTCACATACATACATACTTATAAACACAATTCATGCACCACAAGAGGGATGAATACTTGACTGGAACACATAACAGTGGGTGTCTTCATGGAAGGGCACACTTTGCGCAGAGGTAATAATCATCCCCTAGTCTTGTAGGACAACCAGAGAGATTACAAAAAAGATGCTGATGTTTGTTCAATCAAATGTCAAAGTGAAGGTGCCACTGCTTGTAACAATGTTTATATCCCACCCGTTGTTGGTTTTAGGCCGATTCACTGCCAGGAGAGCAAACCTAAACAGTTTTCTCTTTCTGGCACCATCTCAGTGACAACGGTTGAGGAAAGTAGGAGGTTATTGTCATGCTACGCTCTCCTGCTATCCTTCCTCGTTTTTCCTCAAGATGTGAGAGTGAGAAAAGTGGGAAAACAGACCCAGATACTTTTATTTCGATACTATTCTGTATTAGAAGTCCATCACCTCATCATATCGTACCTTATGCTCTTCACCCTTCCACTGATCCTTGTGTTTGAGACTTTCCAAAAATTCCTCTTCTATGCCTTATCTTCTAGAAGCCTAACATTGTGCAAACGTCCTCAAACATTGTCATATGCCATAAAGAGGGAGGGAGTGGCTTGTGGGAAAGAGGTGTGGCTATGTGGAGCCCCTCCCCCTTTGACATTATAAACATGTGCACAAGTACCATAAGCGCCTTATTATTTTAACATTCCACTCTCTGCTCCACTCTTTGTGATGCCATATTTAGGTGAATGGAGATCAGACATAAGCAGACTCGCTGGACTGGGTCCTGCCCAGGTTTGGCGGTTGTGACAGGTGGGCCACGTCCTTTTTGCGGATCTCACAGATGGATTTCCTGCGGGCTTGCACGCCTCGAATGGCAGCCTTGATTTTCCTCCAGCCGAGGTGGTTGAGCTCGGCAAGGTTGAGCACGACACAGATACCACTCACTGCAAACATGAAGACTAGGAAGACCGTCTTCTCAGTGGGCCGTGATACATAGCACTCCACCTCCTTCAGGCAGGGGTAGCGGTCACACTCAAAGATGCCAGGGACACTAAAGCCATATAGAAAATACTGCCCCACCAAGAAGCCTATCTCCAGTGCATTGCGGAACACGACCTGGATTATGTAAAAGCGAGAGATGCCCTCTTGTCGTCGTACCTTGGAGCTCTTGCTATGCAGGAGGCCTCTCGGAGCATTTGGGATCTCCTTTACCTCTAAGCAGTCAGGTTCGTCTTTTCCGCCACCACTGTCAGAATGCTGCACCAGAATGCCATTAATGTTGCGTAATTTTTGGGTACCCTCACGACTGTAGTCCTTCTCCATAATTGGGTAGAGGAAGGAGTAGCGACGGTCACGCTGTTTGTCTGACTGGTGTACTGAATAGGTGATGAAGCACAGGCTGGGTGTGCAAACGAGGATGATCTGGAAGACCCAGTATCGGATGTGGGAGATGGGGAAGGCCTTGTCGTAGCAGGCCTGATTGCACCCAGGTTGGAGAGTGTTGCAGATAAACATGGTCTGCTCGTCCTCATACACTGTTTCACCTACGATGGCCACAATCAGGATACGGAATATCACCACAACCGTCAGTAGAATCCTGGTGGAAAGAAATAGAGGGAAAATTTGATGTGTGATATAAACAGGGTGCATATATATATATATATATATATATATATCCTCAGATTTTTCCATTGACGCAATTTGTCCCTTATTTAGGCTACCAGCAAATTAGCATTGCAGATGTTTGCATTTGCTATTCAAATGTGTGTTTTTCACTTTCAAGACCAACTTGCACATTTAATTAAGAGCTCTAATTTTGAAACAATTCTGCTTTCTCAGGTTCTAATTATAGCTTGTTCTGTGCCATCAAACTCTGTTGACATGGTAACCTGTATCACTGGTACAGTAGCCTGTGTCGATGCTAGTCTCTATACTGCTCATTAATTGGTAGCGTGGTGGCAGTCAAACCTGTTCTCTTCTATTCCCCATAGAAACAGTTTAGATTTTACACCTCAGTTATCACTGCTGTTAGGGCTATTTCTGTACCACTGTTTGATTGAGCGAGAGAGAGAGAGATTAAGAGAGAGAGAGACGGACAAAGAGAGAGATTACATATGTTTGTAAGTGAAGGCAGGAGTAAAACACAGATTGAATTTGTGCATCAGTGGGTTTGGACTTACGCTCTACATTTAAGATGATTGGCTCTGTAAGACATACATACATACATACATACAACATAAGCATCCGACATAAGTTTTACCAGATATTTCTTCACGTCCTCACCCAGAAATGTAGTCGCTTTTCCGAACTCATTAATTTTTAAAATCAGAGTCAGCACTTGAGCATGCCCAGACCTCAGCAGACACAAACACAGTCAGAAATACTCCAAACGCTTTTAAAGTGTTAAAGTACATGAACAGTAATGGACTACATGCAAAGGTAAAAAAAAACAAAAACAAAACATAATAAACCATCTGTAGACTACATCTGCTCATCTATTCAAGAAAGTGATATACCAATGATATATCAGGCAAAGCTGGAGTCTTGATCTTGACTCAAAATCACGTCTCACTCTTGCCTTGAATCGTTTGGAGCTGTTTTTCACTCTCTGATTATACATCATATGCATTATAATATTAAAGAGCACTGGATGAAATGGCAAATGCATTTTGTAATTTGCAAGTAATTGGGGATCTTTATAATTTAATTCATTATTACTTACAGCATGTGGAGTTTGTGAATGTCTCTATTGAAGTATCAAAAGACTAATACAGTACAACACTCAAAAGTGCCAAAAATTAGTTGACCAATTCCAATGTGTTCCAAATCTGATATGTGCATCTTTTTACTTAGAAATAAATTGTATAGAATGCTCCATCTGTAGTAGTAACTAAGGTTTTAAAGTTTGAGTGCTTTAAAGTTGAATTTCAATGGATGTTTTTCCATTTGAATGGTTTTCTAGGTGCTTTCTAGCTCCGTAGAAGGTGTCACATCAGGTAAGTGAATTATGTGATTGGAGCCTTCACTTATTATGGATTTATGCATTGCGTTCTTGTTCCAGCTGTGAGGTCAAAGAGGCAGCTTTAATCTGCATCCAATCAGCCACAGTGTTTTTACTTTTCTGGGCCAAGCCTGAGTCTGTGGCTGGACAGGAGGCAAAAATGTACACCTATAGAAATTCAAAGTCAAGTCTGTAGTATTTCTACTTTTCAGGTGTGCGATTATCAACAGTTAAAAGGCCTGAGTCATTTATCATACTATGCATTTTCTTTAATAGTTTTGTTCATAAAATAATTTTGAAAATAAAAAGAAAATCCAGAAGTAACAAAACTTGAAAAGATATATGATTAAAATGTTTATTGCATTTACAGTATACATCAATGCAGTATACATATCATAATATATATATAAAACGGTTGAGATCCTAAAGCAGGGCTCACCAAATTCAGTCCTGGAGGGCCACTGTCCTGCAGAGTTTAGCTCCAACCCTAATTAAACACACCTGAACCAGCTAAACTCTGCAGGACACTGGCCTTCCAGGACCGAGTTTGGTGACCCCTGTGCTAAAGGACTTTTTCGAAGACTAAACCATATTCAACAGAAGCGTATCAATTACAAGAGAAGTGTCAACAACAATTGTGTGCATTATTTGTATGATTTTAGGGACTAAACTCACCTGAAAGCAGTGAAAACAACAGTGAGAGACAGAGTTTTGCTGCTTGTCAATTGCTGTTGCCTCCCCGTTTCCATGGGTAACTCCCTCCGCGCCAATAGTGTTTGAATGTGACTCAGATGTTCAGCAAGCACACCCATTACAATACATCAAAGTCAAGCAGCATTAACATTAATAAACATCTAGAATTAGAACACTACATAAACAATTTAAAATCTCATTAATTATTAAACTGCGAATTTGAAACTAATTTTGTAGTTCTGAGACCCATTCATGTAGGTGCAAAATGCTACCCCTATACAAGATAGTGGGACAAAGTGGCACTCTTAAATTTTAAGATTGTGTTTTGTTTTGTTTTTTTACAAACACTCAGCCTTTTATTTCTTTTTAAAACATGATAGCAGTATTTTTAACACTAAACTATACTTTTGTTAAATAACTAATAATTCAATCACCTAATAATCCAATATTCTGTAAATTAGCCCACATAATTGTACTAGTAAGTGACATAAGCGACATTTATGTGAATTTTTTATTTTTTGAGGATTTTCAGAGAATTTTGAGTCAGCAAAACAGCACTGAAAAAGATATAATAGATATAATAGAACTGATCTAATGATAAACACCACAACACTATCTATATAACTCAAAATGAATACTTTATTGCACTATTTATATTAATTTGAGTCTGGAAAATGAGTCTGGAATGAGTTCTGGACCAGACAGGACAATTTAGCTAACTTGATCGCACTTTCCAGAAAAAAAAAATATACATATATTTACAACATGTTGAGTGTGAAGAACCATTTTGTAGTCTAAAGAAACTTTCTGTGCTACATAGAACATTTTGTGTAATGGAAAGGTTCTTTGGATATTAAAGGTTCTTCATTGAACCATACACCCTGCCAAAGAACCATTTAAGAACCTTTAGTTTTTTTGGAGTGCAGGGGAGTGAGGTTTACCTGTACAGTTCCATCTGGCCTCTGTTACAAATACAGCGATCTTGTCAGACAAGTAGTGTCTTTAAATTCCTCCCCTTTAAACACCCCATTAGTCACCCATCCTGACCCTCTAGAAAGTCAATCTACTACTTATACTATTATTTATACTTATTATTTACCTCTTTCCCCCCTATATTAAACCCTGATTTTTAAACACTGAAAACAAAATGACAGACGACTTTAAAATGATGGATGCTAAGGGAAAACAGGTTTCAAATGAACATCACTTTTTGCCAGCAATTCTCCAGGTTTCCCTAACATTTCATCACATGGACATGAAATCCAAACCGATTAAATTGATTTCTGTGGTGTTGTTTTATGCTTTTGCAACTCATTGCAAGCACTGTGCACTTTGTAGGAGTGTGTTGTGTTTGTGTGGTTAACAGTGTAGGCAGCACGATTGATCAAAAGAGTCCATGGAATGCTGGGAGAAAGGAAAAACTGTGCAGGGAATTGCACATGTACACAGACATACACAGCACTGACAAATAATATGAGATTTTCATGAATTAAAAAAACTGCCAATGTGGTACAAATTTCATCAGAGGATGAATTATATAATAGCTTCCACACGCAAAACCCACAACCTTTAATCTGCACGAGAGCCAATAGAGGGTTCTTGCATTACGAGTTCTTTAATGCCATCCGATAGCTTTAGATTATGTATTCCCCAAGCCCCACCTACTTCTCATTCTTCCCCCACACATTTTCTCTCTCTGTCTCTTTTTATCTCTTTTCATTTTCCTCCTGTCTGGCTCACCTGTTCTCTGTCTCTCATTAGTTCCCTCTCAATCCAAAAACACATCGAGGGGCTATTTTAATCACTACTACACTGGGGGAAATTTTTTTATTTTTGACCAACTTAAAAAAAACAAAAAACTTTAATTTGTTAGATTTAGGCTATTGTATTTTCTCAAATTATATTTATGGTTTTGTTCACAGCTTTAATTTTGATTTAATATTATTCAAGCATATTTATTTTTTAAAGACAAAAACATTAAAAAGTAAAAAAAGATACTTAAAAAATACTTACATTTGTTAGATTTATTAGATTTTCTCAAATTATATTTATGGCTTGTTTCAAACCTTATATTTTTGATTAATATTAATAAAAAATATATTAGTTATAATATATTAGCTATAATATAAAAAGTAAAATTTTCTCATATGATGAAACTAAAAACATTTCGTTACTCAATATTTAATTTGGTTTACTTGCTATAAATAAAGACAACTTCGAAAGACCGTAATGTTTATTGTGATCTCACAAAAATACCAGAAAAATTAATAAAACCCACAATAATTTTTGCAGTCAGCAAAGATAGGCAGTACATGTTCTACACATCTGGTGTCAAGTGAAAATAAACAAAAATGATCTTTCCTTCTTTCTTTCTATGGGGAGTGTTATTTGCTTTTAGAAAAAATGAACACTGGAAACCACGATTATTGATTAGACCTATATAAAAATGCACTTTAAGTAAATGACAATGGTTGTGTCATTCACCCCCCCTATATATATATATATATATATATATAAAACTATATATCAAGATAACTTTTAAGACCTAAATGCCTTCTGTACGGAGCCCCGCACATGACATGCAAGAAAAAAAATAATAAATCGTGGGCATGATTTATTAATTCGTTCCCTCGATTTACTAGATCGTGCGCACAATTTAATAATTTGTTCCCTCGGTTTAAGTAAATCGTGCGCACAATTTATTAATTCGTCCCCTCGATTTACTAGATTGTGCGCATGATTTAATAATTCGTTCCCTCGTTTTAAAGGGGTCATATGATGCGATTTTTTTCGCATCATATGTTTTGCTTTCTCTTTGAAGTGTTACAAGCTCTTGGTGCATAAAGAAGATCTGTAAAGATGCAAAGACTAAAGTCTCAAATATGCGCACGATTTATTAATTC